CCATGGTACTCCATTCTCCTTATTTTCCAGCATGAAGGGTCCCTCACTTCCACACCAGGCTTCCTGGGCTCTACTACCTCTCTTGGGAGGCAAGGAAAAATTACATCAGAAACAGCAGGAGAGCACAATGGCAGCTTATGTTCATTCAGAGCTCACCGGAGGAAAGAGGTTCAATTCTGAGGAGTATGATGCCTGGCTGAGGGACCCAGTGTTCCAGAAGGATGCAAATAAACGCTCCAGGGATACAATCAGAGTTATTCTCTCCCCTGGCTCAACACAATTAAATAGATGCAGGATGCAACAATTTTGGTCACACTGGAAAGCAATGGAGCAATGGCAAAATTTGGAGCAACTGGAGTTTTCATAGGCTTAAAATTCAGGCCAAGTGCAGGAGATGTGTTAAAATTTCTGGGCTTTGTGGAAAAAGATGATCTGCTCGAGCTCCTCAACCTTAATTGAGCTTGTTTCTAAATCCTAAGGTAGCAGGAGTGGTTTGGTAGGGGAAAAACAGAAAGACATGCACCCAGAAAACCTCTCAGAACTTGAATTGGGGAAGTAAAACCTTATTAGCTTTTCTTGGTACATACTATTTTAAAACATTGCATCTTCTTTGTGTTATGCTTCACATTACTCTAAGCTCTTTACTCTAGAAAAGAGAGTCTTGAAAATGTCCTCATCAACAGCTTTGACACATTATGCAAAGCCTCTCCATCCACCACTCCCCCTCCTTCCTCACACCTAGGACCTTGAAATGGACTTATCCGATAGCTGAGGCTTTGGAGATCAGAAATGGGCGCAGGCATATAACTTTCTTTTTCTTTTTCTTTCTTTCTCTTTTTCTTTTCTTTTCTTTTTTTTTTAATCAAAAGACTCAAAGTTGAGTGGCAGAAAGAATCCAGCCCAGATCTGGGTGTCAGGAGACCTGGATTCCCCTGTCACCATGTTCCCTAGTTTATGCAATGCTGGGACACTGAGACCTCATTTGCATTCCTCCTTTGCTCACTAACTAGCTGTGTGGCTTTGTACAACTCACTTAATTTCTTTGGGTCTCTGTTTCTCCATTTGTAAAGTGAAGGATTTGGACTAGGGATCTCCACATTTCCTTTTAGCATAAAAGGCCCATAATTACCAACGACCTGCTCAAGTCTCATTGTCCTCATTTCTTCTTTTAAACAGAGTGGTATCTGCTTCTCTACTTCATAGGGAGGAGGTGAAAGTGCTCAGGGAGCCTTAAAACACAACACAGATGTTAACTATCATCATTGCTATTAGAATTCTTTATGCAGCTCTTTCTTCAGAGCATGTTTGATGTCTTTTACCATTTGTAAGAACAATTCAGTGCCTTACAGGAATTCCTAAAATTCAGTCCTTGTTTTGATGAAATAGAAAGCATGATGTCAGCTCAGGTAGATGAAGTTGCTGCAAATGACAGTAGCATATGACAGTTCTTTGGAAGGAAGTGGGTTAAAGTCCCCCTCAGTCTTCAGAGATGGCCACTTCTTGACCTTTTTCAAGGGGGATGAACAATGCTTCCATAGGAACTTATGTTCTCAAACATGGCATTGCCTAAAGAATTGAAAAGACCTTGGAGAGTTCCAAGGACAATAATAGTAAACTAAGGTGCTTATCTTTTATGTAGCACCTGTGCATTTCCAAGGAATTTACCCCATTAACTTATTAGTATTCCCAACCCTACACCAGCCTTTGTTCTTGCCTTTGGTATGAAGGAAGGTGATATTACCTGAGCGTTGCATTCAGAGAAAGCACCTGGGTTGAGAGTGACAGTCGCTCTGTCCACGGCTGGTGGAATTTTTCCTTGTCACCAGTGACAAACCTTTTTATCTCTTGTCCCCCACTATAAGGACTCCAGTGGTGCTCTGTGCCTTTCTCAGCATCACAGGGTGTCAGAACACAGATGGCTCCTTAAGGAGTTCCTGCAGAGCCCAGCTCTGCTTAATCCTTCCCTGACTGGTGTGGCTCAGTTGGTTGGGCATCACCCCGCACAGTGAAAGGTCCCCAGTTTGATTACAGGTCAGGACACATGCTTGGGTTGCCAGTCTGTCCCTGGTTGGGGCACGTATAAGAGGCAACTGATTGTTTCTCTTTCACAACAATGTTTTTCTCCCTCTCTTCCTCTCTCCCTTTCCCTCTCTCTAAAAATAAATGAAATCGTTAAAAAAAAAAATAGTGCTTAACCTTGAGAGGTACAGGGAAGACATGTATGTATATCTGAACACACAGCACAGATTTTCCATTGCCACCTCTGAACAGCTGTCTCATCCTGGACAACACGGTGGCCCTTCCTCTCCTAAAGCACAATGGGTCATTCTTAAGGGAAATGAAAATTGTAATTTCATCATCTTGGATAGAATGATTTAAAGAGATAGGCGCTCTCCTTTTCTCTCATCTGACAGCTAAATTATGTAACATAAGTCCCTAGGTACAGGGTTTTGGGAAGCAAAGTTAGTAAGCATTATAATGTGAAATGAAAATGTACATTGAGGCCCTGAAGCCTGGGCCACTCTACACTTCAGATGTTACCTACCCCAAAGTAGAATATAGTGCCTTTGCCAAGAATACAGCTGGATCAACTCCATTTTTTCCCAGGTCAGACACACAATAAATATTTGGGATTGATTTGGTGGGCAAACATTCTTTGCTCTTCGCTCTTGGATACGTTTCCATTTTTCAGCTTATTCTTTTTATTTGTTAATCTTTTTGACTATTTAGCAAAGATGCAGGTAACTAGTGAGGTCAGTGTTCAATACAACTGGAAGGAATGTTGGTCATAGTGGCTGTCATCTGTATTTTCCAAACTGGTTTCCAAGTAACACCGATTCTGGGTATTTTGGGAAAAAAAAGAAGTTCTGTGTTTGAATAAGTTGGGGGAATATTATTTTAGCTTCCTACTCCAGTCCCCCAAGATTTTCAAGGCACATTAGCTTATTAAATAGCCTGAGAAGAGTTGGGGGAAAAGTAAACAGTTTTAACAAAGTTAAAACAACTTTTTTCCAAGTCAACTTGATTAGGAAACAGTCCCTATCCCTTTTTTTTTTTTTTTTTTTTTTTTTTTTTGGTGATATCTGTTAAAGTTTCACAAATTCATGGTCTTTGGAAAACACCTTGGGAGCTAGTAATTGAACCCAATTTCTAAATTTAACTGGTAAAAAACCAGAGGTTCTGAGAGGGACTGAACTTCTTACAGGTATTTAGTAGGGAAGCTAGGACATGAACCCCATTTCTTGAATGCCTGGCTCAGGTACTTACGTTCTGGGCTGGCAATAGGTATCTAGTGAAGGTTTTTATTTTTGTTTGTTTGTTTGTTTTTTGTGTGTAGATGAATAACAACATTAGAGATGATTCCCAGGCAGGGTGACCAGATAGAAGGGGTAAATCAGGGAAGGGGCTCACCTAGTGAGGGAAGAACGCTTAGCTTTTGGACACACCAACCATCACTCAGAAAACCCTGCCAGCGCTAGTGCAGGAGTCCTCTCCTGAGACCACAGAGATGGCAGAAGGTTTTGATCATTACCTCAGGGGCTAGGGAACAATTAAGAATAAGAAGACAAGTCAAAGAGCATGGTAGCCAGGAGGAAAAGACACAGAAAAGCCACAGGAGGTGAAAGTTTCTTTTTTTAGTGAAGTTATTCAGATGACATTGGTTAATACAATTATATAGGTTTCAGTGGACATTTCTGTAATAACCATCTGCATATTGTATTGTGTGTTCACCATCCAAAGTCAAGTTTCTTTTCATCACCATTTAACCCTCTTCCCCTTTATCCCTGTATACCTCCCCTTTCCCTCTTGTAATCACCATACTGTTGCCTGTGTCTAGGAGTGCTTTTTTTTAAAAAAATCCCTTCACCTTTTTCTGAAGGCTCCACCTACCCTCCCTTTGACAGCTGTGTTTTCTATATGTATGAGTCTGTTTTTATTGTTTATTTTGTGCATTAGATTCCACATATAAGTGAAATCATCTGGTCTTTGCCTTTCTCTGACTGGCTTATTTCACTCAGCATAATGCTCTCCAGGTCCATCCATGCTGTTGCAAAGGGCAAAATTTCCTTCCTTTTTACCACCAAGCAGTACACTGAGTAAGTGTACCACAGCTTTTTATCCACTCATCTACTGATGGGCACTTGTGCAGTTTCCAAATCTTGGCATTGTAAATAATGCTGCAATGAAGACAGGGTGCATATATTCTTTCAAATTAGTGGTTCTGGTTTCTTCTGATACAGTCCCAGAAGTAGAATCACTGCGTCATAAGCACCATGGAGTTTCCTCAAAAAATTAAAGAAAGGAAGGAAGGAAGAAAGAAAGAAGAGTGGAGGTGTAAATAAAGAAATTATAGGCAGAGTTGAGAAACCCAGGCTTGGAATCTGGAGTGTGTGAGTTTGAACACCAACAAAGGGACTTCAAAAAGTTTTTGAGTTCGTTTCCTCATCTGTGAGACGGGAATGATTTCCATATCAAAGGTCGACAGCATTCACTAAAATGAAGTCCGCACCATGGGGTTTGCACTCTGTAGGAGTCAAGGCGTGAGCAGGGAGCAGCACAGAGATAAGAAAATGGAAAGATTAAGGGTATTCCCCTAAGGAGTGTGTCCTGAAACGGGGGCAGGGAACCTCAGGAAGCCCAAAGCCTTTGCTTTAGCCGAATCTGCTTACTGCTTTATGAGGGGAATGGGTTAAGCAGCTCAGGACTGCCTCAGCCTAGTCCCCACTCCAAGGCAATACCCCTTCACCCATGCTTCCATCTCTCCCCGCCTCCCAACCTCCCCGACTCCAGCTACCCGCCCCACTCCCACTCCAGCAAGTTCTGGGAGCCAGATGCGCATGCGCCCTCTTAGGCCCGTGCCCAGCTTTCCACGTTTCACTTCCCTCCCTTTTCCTCTGCAACTCCAGCTCCACCACTACGATTGGCCAGTCGACCTCCTTGCCTTGCCCAATAAACGTCGGCCTCTCGCCCCCGTGTTACTGGGTAGAACAAAACAAAAACAGCGAGAGGGGCCGAGACGCTAACGAGGCAGCGGCGGAGGCTGAGCAGCAGGGTCAGGTCAGCGGACCAGGGACCTGGGCGAGTGGCAGCAGCGGCGGCGGCGGCGGCGGCGGCGGCCCGGGGGGTCAGTACCAGGGCGGCTCGCACGCTCGGGAGGAGGGCGTCCTCTCCCCTAGCCCTGGTCTCCTCGGATGCAGCCGCACGTTGGAAGGGGGAGGGGGCGGGGGCGTGGAGGTCGCGGCCCTGTCTGGTCAGGTCCGGTCGGCAGGGCTGGAGTCCGGCCATCTCCTCCGAACCCCGATAGCCCAGCCCTGCCCTCCCCAACGTCCCAGGCTGAGGGGAGCCGGTCCCAATTTTCCTCCTGATGAGCCCAGGCCCGGAGCGCGGTGGCGCGGGCCCGCCCCCTCCCGGACCCCATCCCCGCTTAGCCAGGCACGCGAGGCGCTCGCCGGCGACGGGCTCCGCGTCCCCGCGAAGGCCGAGATTTCTTTTTTTAATTGGGGAGTGGGCGTTGGGATGCGCGTTTCTGGCCTGACTGAAATCCTGAGAGAGGCTTGCCCCTCCTGGCCTCCATGAGGGTCCTCGGAAGCGAATCCCTCCAACCCATCCTGCCCAGGCCCGGCCCCGCCACTCCCCACCCAGGACGGTGGGACCGGCGGCCGTAGGGGTCCCGGCCTGCGCCCGCGGCAGAAGGGGCTGCGCGCTCGCCGTGGGCACTGGGAGGTGGACACGTGCCAGCCGCCGGGCCCTGCGCGAACTTCGCTCGCCCGCTCTTAAGGCAAAGGGTCGTCTTCTGTTTTTAGTTTAAGTGAAATCTCCCAGAGAAAACGAAGACAGAAAGGGAGCCCCTTTTTGTGAAAAGCATGCTGTGTTGCATTTTTCAGATTGGTGCTGCAACGTACATGGGAGGGTTGTGTATTATATGTGCGCGTGATTTTGCAAGAGTTTCAAAAACGGTTTGCTGAAGTCCCTATCACCCATCTCGCCGAGTCCTTGTGGGAACTGGCTCCATAGCCAGCAACAGTGTACTATCTACAGATAATTAAAACAATTAAAATTGCAGCTTCGTGTAGATAACAGTCACCACCTGTTTTTATTTATGTTTTTACTGTTGAGTTTGAGAATTTTGGCATTCTTGCTAACGAGGCTTTTTAGGAAACCACCATATATACTTAAAAAAAAACAACAACAAAAAACCAGTGTCGATGTGTTGTAAATTTAATTATTGGTGTTTATGCCTTTGATCTTCCTTCATTATAGGCTGTTAAATTCTTTAATATCTCAGCAGGCCTCTTTGAATTATATTTTGATTGGTTTTTCTGTTGTAGTAATAGTGGCTAAGAGTGTAAGAATAAATGGCACTTTGATATTTTTTGTGGTGCTCACTTTTGCATCATTGTGGTTAAGTAAATACTTTTAGCCTGAACTTGAAAAAGTGTCAGAGTGGATTATCAGTATTTCAGGAGATAGATTTTTGGAGGGAATTGGGTGGGAGGCCGAGAACCTTTTAGGGAATGTCTTGGCAGTTGAAGACTTCTGAGCCTGTATTTCTGTGAAACATGTTGGAAGACTGAAAACGATGTTTAATTTCAGGCTTAATTTTAACAGATGTACAGTTTTTTTTTCTTATTGAAACAATTTTGTATTTTAGTATGAAGGATGGGTGTTAAAATTTTTGGTTTACATTTTCTTAAATTTGGGGGCAGAGATCTCAAGGGTTGTTAAGTAAACGGGAGAAAACCTATTGCTTTGAAGAGAGTGAAAACAAGGAACATATCTTGATCCTTCTCCAGATGTCCATGTTGCTATCAAGTGTGACTTGAGTTCTTATTGCATTATCATTGCCTGAAGACTAGGACTTCTTTTTTTTTTTAATGATTACTTAATAAGAACAAACATGGTAAATACAGATGATAGCCATTACCTGATAATTTTCTTTGCCCAACTGAATGTCTTCTGTATAATAGTAAATAAATATTTTTTTTTTGTTTGGAAAGCAGTACTGAAGAGTTTGTTATAACAATAGGAGTCTGTGTTTTAATAAGCTTTTCTCTTTTAACTCTAGAAAAGAATATTCCTGTGATAGACTAAACTTTGGTATTGTGCAAACAGTGTTGGATTTAGAACGTTTAAGTTCTAACCTTGGTTCTTCCACCGAGCAGTCTTCTCTGTGGACAGATCACCTGCCTTCTCAGAATCTGTTTAGTTGTGTGCAAAGTGGAGTACCTACCTCAAGATTGTTCTGAGAGGTACATGAAATAATGCCTGTAAAATTCTCTTTGAATTATAAAGACCTTTGTAAACATCAGTTATAATCACTTCATTTCCTTTATTAGCTATGTTCTGCACAAAGCATTTTCTCAGATTATACTTGCATCAAGTATGAAAGAGACTTTAATGTAACTGTAGTGTAAAAAACTCATGTGACATTTTCACTTCACTGTAACATATAATGTATATACAGAAATGAAATAGATATGGCATTTTCAGCCACAAAGGACACTAAATGTTTAGATTTGCAAACAGTTTTTGTTTACATATCTATGTGTGTCTCATATATATGTTCAAGCGTTTTTTTCCTAAGTCCAGAGTTTGTGGGAATTATGGTAGTAAAAGGTATTTACATAAAATCGCATGTCTTTTATTCTGAATAGAATTGGAGTGATGTCACTATTTTGTTAATTTCTGAAGCAACACGATAGCATCTTAGTAGCCAAAGGATTATATCATAGTAAGAATTTATGATTTTAACAAAAGGTGTGTGTTTATATTTGCTTTATAAAATAATACTTTTTTTCTGGAGAAAAGGGCTATAAGCTTATAAGATATTTAAATAGTATATATTGAGGAATCTAAAAGTCAGTTTCACCTTTGAGTTCCAGTAGGCATCATGTATCATTTTAAAATAACATTTACTGTTGGTTATGTTATATGAGAAAACTATGCTTTTTTGTAGTTTCTTATCTCCATTAATGTATGCATTTTATGTCTTAAAAGAAGAGCACACTGCTAGTGAAAATTATTTTAAATGATTAGGAGGACTTAGATGTAACCTATACTACTTATTTAAGTCTGTAAACCACTATTTGAAAAATCTCCAGATAAATTTTGAAATCATATTTGCCTTCTGGCAATAGTTCACATGAAAGTATGTTTTGATAGTCTTTCAAATAACACTGAATTTATATCATTAAGTTAATTGTCTAAATACAAGGTAATTGATTTCATCAAAATCTTCCAGCATTAGTAATTTTTAAGTCATTTTGAAATTGAGGTCTAAAATACTGAGATGCTTAATGTCATTGTACTTATTTCCTTTTAAAATAGGTAAGATTAAGAAAATGCATTTTACAGATTATAAAAATAATACTTTTGTTATGGAAAATAAGTTAAAACGTTTTTCCCAATCTCAAAGTTGTATAACAGTAATTACAGATATTTAGGTGATGAAATGATAGATATGTCTGCCTTGAGATATGTTGTAGAGTGAAAAACAACAGTTCCGCGATATTCTTCATTAATCAAAACTCTATTTGCATTTTGTTGTAGTACTCATAACTTATTGATAGCAAACTATCCAATATTTATTTATATTAGATTAATTATGAGGCCTGTTACTCCTAAAAAAAATGTAAGCATGTGTATACTCCTTTAACTTGAAATAAACATGTATAGCAATATATTTTAATTCCAAGTTAAAAGGTGTAGTGTGGCACATTGAGAAATACGGGCTTTTTTGGGGGTGGGGGACACATAAACTTATTAAGAAGATTGAAACCAAATGTTATTTAGGGTAAGATATCTTCAAAAGTGAAGTGAACTGTTTTTTTAAAAAATGGAATTACGTGGTAGATTTTTTCCTTAGTGTTATTAAGTAAATTGAATTTACCTTAATTATGTCAGTTTGGGGGAATATTGAAACTTTGTTTTTTCTTTTTAAAGAAATAGATCCCAAAGGAAGACTTCCATTTGGTAATTCAATCATTGCAAGTGAAATTAAGAAATAATGGATGTAGAAAATGAGCAGATACTGAATGTACACTCTACAGGTAAGTATTAGTATTTTAAACCTTGATTGTATTATGAGCAAGTATCAGGCCATATCATATTTTATGAAAACCTGATATTAAAACTGTCTTTACTTTGCCCTAGCTGGTGTGGCTCAGTGGATTGAGCACCAGCCTGTGAACTGAAACATCACCAGTTCAATTCCCAGTCAGCGCCCATGCCTGGGGTTGTGGGCCATGTCCCTAGTTGGGGCTAAGTAACCAATCGATGTTTCTCTTTTCTCTCCCTTCCCTTCTCTCTAAAAATAAATAAGTAAAATCTTTTTTTAAAAAACTCTTTATTTAAAAAAAAACATGTTATTCATGCTACAAGGAAATAGGTCATATTATTTTTAAAATTAAGTTTGTGATTCTTATTTTCATAGAAATTCATTGCATGTCCCTAATTTTCTCTCTCTCCTTCCACATCCCATACATTCTTATTTATACTAAATATAATAAACTATTGTGCAAAATGGGGAAGAATAGTGAACTTGCTCATTAATATTTTTGTATGAGCTAGGTAGTGATTTCTATAACATAAAGTACTGTTTTTTTCTAACTAATAATTTATATTTTATAAATTACCTGTGGATATTTTCTCTTATTTCTTATTGTGCTTTAATAGTACATTATTATGCAGATGGTTTTTTGAAATAGATAGCCAAATGCTGAGTAACTTCAGACAATTTAAAATGTATTTCTACCTTTCAGAATAATCTTTGTAGAGAGTTAATTAGGATTTTCAAATATTCTGAATAGTGAGAACTTTTCATATTGGTATGTTTTAGATAATTGCTTACTTTTATAATTTTATTAATAATTGAAAGGATCATTATTTTTTGTAATTTAAATATATTTATATTTCACTTTTTAATAATATAGCTTCAGTTTTTCAGAAGACTAATTCATTGTTGTGTATGTTGTATAATTTTCTTTGAGCAGACTTTGAAGTTGAAACTTCTTTGCCATTTTGTATTTAAAACCTAATTTCAAGTGTGCTAGAAAATTATTGAAAAAATTATAAGAACTAATGATTATTTTGGTGCTGCTATATACAATAGTTATATGAGCACTATACTTATTTTTTAGGGTTATAAATGGGCATCATGTACCTCCTTCATTGAGGTGGGGATGGTAATACAATTTAAGAATGTATTTTACACATAGATAACTGTTTCTTTAAAATATGTTATACATATTTAAAACGTATTGAGGTAACAGTGGTTAATAATATTACATAATTTTCAGGTAAATGAAATTATAGTTCTATATCTGTATACTCTTTTGTGTATTCTTCACCTAAAACCTAGTTTCCTTCTGTTTACATATTTGACCCCCTTCACCCACTCAATCTTGCAGCACCCAGTTTCCTGTCTGGTGGCCACCGTTTTGTTGTCTGTATCTATGAGTTTTTTTTGTTTGTTTTGTTTGTTACTTTTTGTATTATATTCCACATATGAGTGAACTCATATGGTTTTCTCCTTTTCTTGTCTGACTTATTTCACTTAGCCTGATACTGTCAAGATCCATTCATGTTGTCATAAATATCAATGTTTCATTTTTTTATGGCTGCGAAGCATTCCATTGTGTGTGTGCATACACACACCTGGTAATTGCTTCATTTCTGAACTGCCTGGTATGATAGCCACTCACAGTTGTGAGTACATGAACCACAGGGTTGATTGCTGTATTACTATTTTTAATTATTTATTTGTATTACAACTGTAAATGTACTTTTGCCCACCCTTACATTTGAAAAGATATTAATTGAAGAAGAAAAACTCAGGTGTGGGAAATATGTTTAAGTGAATACTTGAGTACCTTAAGGGACAGTATAAAGCATTTAATATACTTCTAAGTTCTTTATCTTCTGGATGAATTTGGTGGTTTGCCTTAATGGTAGAATAATGAAAAGCAGTATGTTACAGGCAGATATTTAATGCTTCCTTCAACCACTCCATTTAATTGGCCTGAGCTCTGGTCCTTTTCCTTCTTAATCTTTTGCTTCCCTCTCTTTACATCCCTGCTTTGTTCATCCTTTTTAGCTGTCACCACTCTGCTGTACTCTAGCTTTGTATTTTCTATGATTATAGTCATCTGAGATTCACATGTGGGTTTGAATCCTGACCACAATCCATTTTAGGTATGTAACTTTCCTATGAAACATTTTCCTTCTATAAAATGAGGATGAACATCTTCATTATAGAGTTTTGTGAGGATTATAGAACCGTGTATGTGAAGTGTCTAGGTATCTAGTTAAGGTAACAATTGTGACGATAATGACAAAAGACGTAGTAGTACTCCTGTGATAGTTACAATGACTGTTACGATGGTATTGCAAACTCACCTTCCTAATGCTGGCTGTCTTTCCTAGTCTAAAAGCTATAAGATATCATTTTACTTTCCTTGAATCTATTTTGTTGAAAAGCTCTTTATTTTTTTGGCTGAAAGTGTTACTTTCTTATTTATCCCAGAGTTACTACCCTTTTGACTGCTTTACAGCAGTATTTTCTTAGCTGGTCTCCCACTTTATACTTTAACTTATTTCTAATGTATTCTGCATCCTTTTGCTAAACCAGTTCCCCCATTAGGTCAGTAGATCAGTAATGCTCACATACCGGCATATCATATTTCCCTTCTATGGTACCAGATCTGAGTTCTGACCATTTGAATGTGGAGTGGTCAGCAGTTACTCTGGTGTTGTAAGTAGGGGCAAAAAGATCATAAGGGACCTTAAATTACAAGGTAATGCATTTATATTTTATTTTGACCTAGTGGGAATACCTTCAAATGGTTTTCAGTGGGAGAATGTTTTTAGAAAATTAGTTTCCATGCATTGTGGAGAATGGTTTGAGTACCAAAAGAATGAAGAGTGCTTTTGAAACTAATGAAATAATTTGACTCTATTTAATGTTCATAATGTTTTTGATTGCCATGATGTTTCTTCCTAAATTTAATATGTTTTGTCAAGAATTATTAAGATTTTGCTCTGGCTGGTGTGGCTTGGTTGGTTGGGCATGGTCCCGTGAAGTAAAAAGGTCACTGGTGGGATACATGCCTAGGTTGGGGCAAATGCCTAGGTTGCGGGTTCAGTCCCTGGTAGGGGTAGGTATGGTTGCTTTGGAGAGGAAACCAATTGATATTTCTCTCTCATATCAATGTTTCTCTCCCTCTGTTTCTCCCTTCCTTGCCCTCTCTCTTAAAAAAAAAATTAAATATTTTAATACATTTATGCTTTTTTTAAGGTTGACTTAAAAAATATTTTCAACATATTAAAACATGCTGAAGCTCAGATACATAGACTTGACACTTCCTGATTACATTTAGGAATATTTAAAACCATCCGAGGAGTTCAACTCTGACCTGGGTTAGCCTAAATGAAAAAAAAAACCTCAGGCGTAGGGGTGACTAATTTAGTAGCTTTCTGACTTATCGTGGTACAGTTTTTCAGAGCAAAGGTGAGTATTTTTGTCATTTGATCTGCACGGACATTTGATTTGATAGTATGAGGATACTCTGTTACGTGCTGAGGATAAAAAGAAGTAGGTTCTCCTTTGAGGCTTATTACTTATTTGGAAAAGCAGGACTGTGCTGTAAAAAGAAATACCGTGGTTTTGGTGATATGGTTAATGAGTGGTATATGAGCATTAGTTTTATTGTGGATAGAGTTGTTAGGAAAGTTTCCCTTGACCTATATCCTCAAGGATTTTGGTAACTAAAAGAGTAGTGAGGATGGCATTTTAAGCAGGAGACTCTTGGGAACTCCAAATATATTTGCTGTCTTTCAGGGGATAATGTACGGATCTTATATAGGCTGGGAGATTTTCAGAGGATGGTTAAGTTTGAAGAGATGAATTAGGACTTTGACATGATGGCTTTGAGAGCAAGCTTATTTTTGAAAGCAATGAACAGTTCAGCAAAATAATCATGTGATCACTTGTTTGCCAGATTAATATTTCCTAAGTATCTGTAATTAATCATGAGATACTTGGCAAGTGATTTAGATACCTTCAACCTTCGTTTCTTTATCTGTATAAATGATATAATAAATAGTTCTCACACTGTGGGTAAATGAAAAAGTGCCAACACAGTGCCTGATAAATAGTATTAGGCATTCTGTATGTATTAGTTTATTTCTCTTCTCACAAACCTTCTAGTCTTATATCATCAATTGCTTAGCTCTCTCAGCTCATAAAGTCTAAAGGTTTTATATTTAGTGTTAATGTTTAGATTGTGTGATCTAAACACACGAGATAACATGCTTTCAGTAAACTTTGGTCATTAAAATTCAGCCATGGCTGGTGTGGCTAACTGGATTAATTGCTGGCCTGCAAACCAATTCGTTGCCAGTTCAATTCCCAGTCAGGACACATGCCTGGGTTGCATGCCAGGTCCCCGGTTGGAGGCAAAACGGATCGCTGTATCTCTTGCACATTGATATTTCTCTCCCTCTCTTTCTCCCTCCCTTCCCCTGTCTCTAAAAATAAATAAATAAAAATATTTTTAAAAAATTCAATGTCTTAGTCTACTTTCCATGATAATGCGAAAAATAATCTATTTAGTTGTCATTTATTAGACTGAACCATATAAAATTGCCAACATGTGACTGTTGCTGAATATACAAAAATGGTAATTTCATGTCATTCAACCTAAAACTTACGATATATTGGTATAACAGTAGACAGTTAAAATACTTAGACATTTTTTTCTTTATTTTTCTCTTTAAGATCCTGATAACTTAAGTGACTCTCTCTTTTCTGGTGATGAAGAAAATGCTGGGACTGAGGATATAAAGAATGAGATAAATGGAAATTGGATTTCAGCATCCTCCATTCATGAAGCTAGAATTAATGCTAAGGCAAAAAGGCGACTACGGAAAAACTCTTCCCGGGACTCTGGCAGAGGCGATTCAGTCAGTGATAATGGAAGTGAAGCCATTAGAAGTGGAGTAACTGTACCAACTAGTCCAAAGGGAAGGTTGCTAGATAGGCGATCCAGATCTGGGAAAGGACGGGGACTACCAAAGAAAGGTATATACCACACCTAAAGATGCAAGGGGAAAAAATACTGTGTGGTTCTTGCACTACAGTTGCCTTGTTCTGAGAATGAGAAAAATTTAAACAATGAAAATGTAAGGTTTTGTGGTTTGTATATATTTTTTACATAGTACTAAACTGAAGATCATCCATTTTTTAAGTTGAGCCTTTTTTTCTTGTTTCAATAGCTTTAATGTTCTTGAGCGGAACCTAATTATTTCCAGCAAAATAGCTCGGTACTTGTTGGTTTCAGAACTGATCAAACCTTGTACTTGCTGCATTTTTATGAGAAAAAAATGGTTCAGCACTCAGTGCTTGCTCACCACTTGGCACACCTGTCTCGCAATGAAACAGGTCCATGTGTCAACCTCACGGTAGCTTGTGAACAGTTCAGTACTCGGGTTTCAGTACTCATCATGATTTCTGCAGCAAATTAATTATGAGTACTGAGATACCACTGTACACACCGATGTTTTTTACAGTTATGAATTGTGCATGTACTCTCTAATTTTGCTTGAAAGAAGTAGGGTCAGGAATTCATCATACCTATTGTCTAATGAATCAATTAATGTCCGTTCTGAAGAATACATAATATGTATAAATTCATTAATACTTTATTTTAATGATTTCATAGACCTGGTTCTGAGTTTTCTATAGCGCTGTTTATCTTGGGTCCTGGAGTGGAATTGTTTCACTGCTTCATCTCCAGTGCTTGGAGTAGACACTAGTAATGTAGGTAGTTATATCTTTGTTGAATGAATGGTCTGTTGGCTTTTGTCTGTGGTAGGATTTTGATACAGTATGATGATTTCACAAGCTCGTGAATGGCGGGAGCTTCAATTTATAGCCTAGGATTCTTGCAGAATTTTTTTTGTCATGTGTCCAAAATTGTTATTCTTGTTGAATGGCTCTATAGCCATTGGTTGGATCAAAATGAAACTTAGTTCTCAGATTCTCTTTTGCTCTGGTGGCAAGGATTATACTTTGAATATAAAATAAAAACCTCCCCAAAATATTGATGATGCTGTAAACTTCTTTAAAAATAGTATTTTGAGACTTACAAAAACATTTCATTAAGTTTATGTAGAAAAGCAACTTTGAAAGTTGGATTTGTTAAACTTCTGGTCAACTTGTATATAGTAGAGAGAAATGAACAGTGCTATTAATGCTTAAATAGCTATTGTAATAGTTTTAACATTACTAGTTACAAAGTATAGCTTAATATGTACTTTTATATCTAAAGAACATTTGACTTTAAAACATTTGATGGTGGTCGCTCTGCTTCTTTGCTAAATAATTTCTACTGAATTTTCTGTGCTGCATTTTTACTGGCTCAGTATATTTTTGTTTTGGTTTCAAGGAATGCCAAATAAAGTTTAGAGCTAACCTGGAATATCACGTTCTTTGAGGTCCCTGATAGAGCTATTTTTCTGATCTTTGTTTTGTTTTGTTTTTGCTTTTATTGGAAAGCAGCTGCCTTTTTAGTTTTAAGCTATTTCAACTTGATGTTTTGAAGTAGGTTATAAAATACCTAATCATTACTGAAAAGACAGTGATCTGAATAAAAAAAGGTTTAAAGTATAACTCAACTGGGAAAAAACCTAAAGGAATTAAAACACAGTGTTTTAGCTGTTACTTTAATTAACATCTGAACATCTAGAATTATTTCAAATTTTCATTGCAATTTATGAACTGTGAACTTTGTTTCTCAATTCAAAACTTTGCAGGTGGTGCAGGAGGCAAAGGTGTTTGGGGCACACCTGGGCAGGTATATGATGTGGAGGAGGTGGATGTGAAAGATCCTAACTATGATGATGACCAGGTATCAGTGTTTTTGCTTTTTAAATATCCAGTTAAATACTTACAAAACTCTTTTGGTCTCATGTTTGTAGTTTATTCATGACATTTGTCAAATCATATGCGCCATATTTTTAATTGATAATTGTCATATTTGTGATTATGTATACTAATGTGTGTATATGACTTATGACTATATATGTATATACATACACATATCAGTGTATTCATGTAAGTCATAAACAGTTCCTTCAGAATTTTGGTTAATTTTGGATTAGGAAAACAAGATAACTGATAATAATGTTACATAATTTTCATTTGGTTTCTAAAGTGAGTCAGAAGTAGATCTTGACAAATTCACTTAGGATTATTAAATTGAGCATTTTTCAATAAATTCTTTTGAGTTAATGTAATTTCTGTAGTAATAAGATTTGAGACTATATTCTTTTGAATATCATGAAAGAGTTATAGATATTATGCTCCTTTTAAATATTGCTGTTTAGGAGGGTAAATTTGGTAATTTTGAAATGGGGATCTTTTTCTAGGGATGTTGCTGAGAATGTAAATTTTTAATAGATTTTCTAATGATTTTATATATATTTAACTTTTTACTGGAAAATTTCTTACTTATACAATAGTAGAATAGTATAATGAACCTGCTTGTACTCATCTTCCAGCTTTTACCAACTTTAATAATTAATAACTCATGGCCAATCTTTTTTCATCCTGTACTTCCATTTACTCCTGTTGTGTCTATTTGTCCCCACCCCTGACTCCTCACCGCTCTGGATAAAGTACTATCTGTATGAGACGTGGTAATTAAAATTTTAGACGGGAGATTATCAAGGAATATGTTAGGTTGTTTTTATTGTGCATTTTTCATATATGTACTTAACTATTTTAACTAATAGTTGGATAAGGAAATATTTCTAAGAGAACATGAGAAAATATATTTTCAAACCAGTAGAATTCAAGTAGTGTAGAAACTTTGCCAAATATTCTCGTTTTAATATGTACTTTCAAGTTTATGTTGTTAGATGGAAGCCAGTCACAAATTGCATATTAATATTTCAGGGATTTTTGCGTAAGAGAAGGGGGATACTTCTTTTTGAAATTTCAGTTTAATAGTGCTTTTCCTTAGAGAATATTTTGGCAACCACAACATAGATTTTTGTTAAAGGGACATCATAAAGGCTTTGGTTCCTGCTTCATTTTTTTTAAGTGAAGTTTTAATGAAAATACTAGATATGGTAAGAAACTATTGCTTTTGATAATTAAAGGATTGGTTTTGTGAGAGAGAGAGAGAATTAACAGAAGATATGGGGCATTGGAAACCAGTCATATTTGCTGTGGTTAGTGGTTCTAATCTGTATATTGGTTTGTTATGTTTAGATTTTTTAAAAGAGCAGTGAGAGATCCTATTTTTATATGTGATCAAAGCACGTAGCATGTCTTCTCTTCCAGAACTGGGATTACTAACCAATTGGAATATAAAATTATAAAACCATTTCAGTTTTTCCAAATATTTTGCCTATTAATTTATAACTCTTTCTCTTCCTTTCCTTCCCAGGAGAACTGTGTTTATGAAACTGTAGTTTTGCCTTTGGATGAAGCAGCATTTGAGAAGACTTTAACACCAATTATACAGGAATATTTTGAGCATGGAGATACTAATGAAGTTGCAGTAGGTTTAAAGTGGCAATTATAATTTATTTCATGTAGGAGGGAAAACACTGTTAAAAGCAAAACATCATAGCTAGAATGATCTTGGGTTGCTGAATAAGTTTAAGAATTTTCTTTTTTGCCATGGTAGGGTAGTTCAGATACTTAGAGCATTGTCCATATATGCAAAGTTTGTGGGTTCAGTCTCCACTCAGGGTACATACAAGAAGCTACCATTGGCCCTGACTGGTGTAGCTCAGTGGGTTGGGTGTCATCCTGCAAACTGAAAGGTCACTGGTTCGATTCCCAGTCAAGACAAGAGTCAGGGCACATGCCTGGGTTGTGGGCCAGGTCCCCTGTTGGGGGCGCATGATGTTTCTCTCATATATCAATTATTTTCTCCCTTCCCTCTCTCTAAAAATAAGTAAATCTTTAAAAGAAGCAACCAATGAAAGCACAAATAAGTGGAACAACAAATCGATGTTTCCCTTCTCCCCAACCCCTCCACCCCTTTTACACTTACTAAAATCAATTAAATTTTTTTTTTATATAAATGAATAAGAAATGGAGTATAATTTCATGAATTTAGATGAATTTTTACCGATTTGGGATCTGATGAGGGCTATGTGCCATTTCCTTCTCTGAAAAATGACACAATATTTTTATAACTATATTTTTATAATTGATAGTTTATACAATATATTTTTAATGATTTCAGGACATTTATGGATCTTTTGAAGTCTCTTCAGGGATCTCAGTTAAAAGTGCCTGACCTAGTTCCTTTTTTTTTTTTTTTTTTTTTTGACATTCACTTCAATGCTTAAGATTAGGGTGAAATTTGTCATTGTATTCTGTCCAAAAAAAAGAGAACACAGATAAAGATTTGAAAAAAGAATGTATTCAGAAACCGAGAGAACAAATGTGATAATTTGTTATGGGAGCATTTACTGTGTTATGAATTTATCATAAAATAAATCTAAAAGGGCAAAATAATTGGTCTAGTTATTAGGATTGCTGACTTAAAGTAATAAAATTGCAACTCAGAGAAGACTTTGATTCTTTTAATTCAAACTGGGCTTTCTTGATTTGTTTGATACCATGAGGCTTGATATCTTTGGATTTGTAGGGCTTGACTATGAAACCAGTATTTGTTTAGTGCATTCCATGTGGAGAAATTAATAATAGGTGATTCCTCCCCTTTTGGAGCGCATGGAAGGAAACGATATATAAGCATTAAAATATAATGTGAAACACTGTATTACAGAAGAAGAATTTAAGTGAGTACTGTGAGGGCAGGGACTGTTGAAAACCTCTTCCCTATGTAGCATGGGATCAGTAGTATGCTATGTGTTTGTTAGCTGAGTAGTACTATGAGCAAAGTGTTATGGAAGCATAAAATGGAGAGTAATAGAAGAGATGATTCTGAGCTGCCTCAGGATAGTTAGGAGTTGGCCAGGGTTAGTTGGTCGGAGAGGGTTTTTTAGGAAGGAGGAGTATTGTGTTTAAAGGCAATGATTTAGCTGTTCAAGTCCAATCCAGAAAGATGAAGTAGAGTTGGACGAGACAATTAACAAGGACACCAGTTAGGTGCTTGTGAAAATAGTACTGACACCCTTTTAGTAGTATACCATGATTTAAATATTCTGAGGCAACTTTAAGTAAAAAGAAAGGTACCCCAAGTACTGAGTTAGAATTTAGCCTGTGGGATCAAAATGACTATATTCCACGTCCAACTTGGTTACTTCAGCTGTGTGCCCTCAGCAAACACTTGATATTTCTGTGCTTTGTGTATGAGTATGGGGTTGCACTACCTCCTCTCAGAGGGTTGGTTGGTTGAGTATTAAATAAGATAATATAAAAAAAAGTGGCTGTTATAATGCCAGATACATTACAAGAAGTATTAGATGCAGGAAATTTTAACATTATTCCAACATTTAAAACAATTATCCCACTTAAAAACAATGGCTTAAGATCTCATTTTAAACTTTATATGGCAATATAAATTTTTGCAAGAAGAAAGCTTTGAGGAAGAGTATGAACAGCTTATGAGGTAAAATAAATTTCTCCATAAATGCTTATAAAGTAATATTTTTAGAAATATTATTAATAGATTATGAAATAGAGGATTAGTTAATGCCTAACACCAAACTTAGTAATATGTGGTTTAATAAGCCATTTTAGGTATAATTCATATTTTTTTAAAGATTTTATTTATTTTTAGAGAGAGGGGAAGGGAGGGAGATGGAAGGAGACAGAGGGAGAGAAATGTCGATTGGTTGCCTCTCGCAGGTATGCCCCCAACCAGGGACCCAGCCGCAACCCAGACACATACACTGACTGGCAACCTAACTGGTGACCCTTACGTTTGCAGGCCGGCACGCAGTCCGCTGAGCCACACCAGCCAGGGCGTAATTCGTGTTCTTGAGTTCAGTGATATTCAGATGGTTAATGCTTGACAAAGTGGGTCAATATGTAATTTATATGCAGAATAAGATATATGTATCCTGTCCCTCAAAATATGACTGCTTTTCTGATTATTCCAAATGGGGAGAGGTAAGGATATATCAAATCCTGATTATTCAAAAATAAAATACTTTCTTTAAAAAAATAGGAACTGCTGAGAGATTTAAATCTTGGTGAAATGAAAAGTGGAGTACCAGTGTTGGCAGTGTCCTTGGCATTGGAGGGAAAGGCTAGTCATAGAGAAATGACATCCAAGCTTCTTTCTGACCTTTGTGGAACAGTAATGAGCACAAATGATGTAGAAAAATCATTTGATAAATTGTTGAAAGATCTACCTGAATTAGCATTGGATACTCCCAGAGCACCACAGGTATGTGTGATTTTTCTTGATCATTTTCTTCCCCCACTACCATTGCAATTATAGAAATAATACATGCTCCCAGGAAATTTTAGTAGATGAAAGAGGAAAATGTGACCCGTATTTCCTACCACACCAAAATGGCCCTTTATATTATAGTGTATTTTTCCCCGAGCTTCCCCTGTCAACATAGTTTTCATACTATAATCTTACATCCTGCTTTCCCCCCAATGCTCGGTATAGTTTTTAGGTCATAGTTTTTTTTTGCTGTTTGTAAATTCTCTATTATATGTAGTTAAATGGTTTTATGATCTGGGATTTTCAAAAAATGTAGATTGTTGGTATTGAGGATTGCATTTGCCTAATGTTTGTTATAAAAGTAATCATAAGTAAGATTGTTCCCTTTTGTAGCATTTTGGGGAAATAATTAGAAAATTCGTGGTTCATGCTTCTGTTCAGTTTTCCGTTCCCAAAATCTTATTAGATTTAATTAGATTTCTTAGATTTATTACATGCTAACATTATTATATGACTTTCTGACTTGAAATTAAAAATGTGTGAACTTGTTGCTGTTTACTTGACAAAGTTTTAAATCAAGGTAGGAACACTTTACTTAACCATTAATTGAAGAAAAAAGTATAGGTAGCTTAATTCCTAAATGCTGTTTCTATTTTATTTTCCTATGACAGACAGTATAGTCTGTGTAAGTTACTGAGCTGTGATTCAAACATGGACTTTTTTTATACCAATACCCATATTTTAGAAAATGATTACATAAGTTCATATTCATTATAGAATTTTTGAAAAATAAAGAAGAACCTAAACCAGGGATGTTCAACCTTTTGGCATCTCTGCGCCACACTGGGAGAAGAAGAGTTGCCTTGGACCACATATTAAATACATTGCGACATGTAATCACAAAAAAAATCTCAAAATGTTTTAAGTAAATTTGCGATTTTGTGTTGGGCCACATTCACAGCCATACTGGGTTTCATGCAGCATGTGGGCTGCAGGTTGGGCACCCCTGAAACAAAGGTAACAGGCTAGCAAAAAAAATCACTGTTTACATTTTGGTGTTAAATCTTCCATTCAACTTTCTGTGGGTATAAATGTGTGGTTTTTATATAGTCTTATGTTTTTTATTTTAATAAAAAATGGAATCATACTGAATGTGCTGTTTATAAACTTGATTTTCCTTACACCATAAAATGTAAATATATCTCCCCGTGGCCACATAGTGTACTATCCTTATATATTTACCATTTAACCATACCTGTATTGATGGATATTAAAGTTGTTTCTAGTTTTTATAAGAAACAATGCTATGAATATACTTCCAGGTAAGTTTCTACACAACTTCTCACCATAGATAAATTCCTTTAATCAGGTTTTTTGTTGTTTTTTTTTTTTTGAGAAAACCTAGTCCCATTTATTTTTGCCAGAAGAGAGGCTTCTTTTGACTTTATGTATTTTTGATCACATACTGTTTCAGGCGTTGCATAAGGTTTCAGGGATTCAGTAGTGAGCAAAACAGATGTGGGCCCGCTCCCTATGGCTCTTAACTTGAAAGTTAAGATGTGGGAGTATGTGCCAAGTATAAGTAATAGGTGCTGAATGGGTGTCCTTTGAATATTACAATCTGTTTTAGGTACTGACTGGTTGAACTCAACCAGTCGTTGTCATTTGTGTATTTAGAAATTGTATCCTATAAAGGTTTATTATAAATTTTTTTATATAACTTTTTTTTTCTTACTATAGTTGGTGGGCCAGTTTATTGCTAGAGCTGTTGGAGATGGAATTTTATGTAATACCTATATTGATAGTTACAAAGGAACTGTAGATTGTGTACAGGCTAGGTAAGTAAATTAATTTTCTTACTTAGAATTTGAAAAGAGGGGAAAATTTTACAGGATTCTGTTGAAATGACACATGAATTAATTAGACATTGTTAACATCTATTTGTCATTTGTATTCTCCCCCATTAAAACAAAATAGAGAAATTGTTGGCCTGATAAAAAAGAAAGAACAAATAATACTGTAATACAGAAATTCTGGGTTTTAGCTAAACCATTAGCTATCTTCATGTCAAGCCACTCATCTCTGGGCCTTAGTTTCATTATTTATAAAATGAAAGGATTGAACTTCGAGTGTTCTTTAAGGTCCTTTCAGGTTTTAACTTTCTGTAATTATTTAATGTTCTAATAAAATGGACAGTATTAACAACGAAGCCCCATTTCAATTTTATATTTCTCTGCTATAGAAATCTTAAATAATGTTTTTTACACTTGCTCTGTGGTATTAATTATAACCTAAATGTGATAAATGGGAGTTATGCTATATGATTTTAAAAAACTATCTGGAAACTTAGATTGGGACATAGCCATGTCTTAGGTATTTTTAGGTGTAGATGTTCATTTTCTAGGACTATTTTAAGTCATAGTGGAATGCCTCTGGTGAGAAGGCATGGATCTAAGTAAAAGTTTTATGTGAAATGCTCCTTTTCAGTGTAGATCACTTATTTTGTGATAACATTTTTGTTGACTGAGAAATGGAAAAATAAGAGTATGAGAATATTAATATGAGAAGCAACTTTTAATTCTGCTCCCAACTTTTTATTTTGAAAAATTATTTTTTAAAAGACTTGAATTTTACAGGTTTCTTTTTTCAAATTTATCCATGATATGGTTAACCTGAAGCATGCCCAAATGTAAAAATTAAATTAATAATATTATTGTTACTATTGTTTTTGTAGAGCTGCTCTGAACAAGGCTACTGTGCTCCTGAGTATGTCTAAAAGTGGAAAGCGCAAAGATAGTGTATGGGGCTCTGGAGGTGGGCAGAAGCCTGTTAATCACCTTGTTAAAGAGGTAGCTATTGGTTATTATCTTTAACGGAATTTATATGTATTCCTCTAAGGAAATAAACTGTGCCCTCTAGCTGGTATTTTTGTGGACACAAATTAAGTCATCCTTACAGCTGCAAATGGAAAATTGGATAATCTTTGTATATTAGCCTTTATACCCGTTTGCTATAAATTCTACAGTAATTATATAATTGTTATTAAATTTGTATGGTTTCCTTGACTTGAAAATGAGATGGTGTTAAAAGGGATTTTAAGATTAAGAAAGCTGTGTATAAACTGCAAAAGAATGCAATGAAGTCTTTTATATTGGTATTTTAAAATTTTCAAATATTGTTGAAATAAGACTATTTTGTAATTATCCATTTTTATGTGAGCAGTTTGAAACTAGATAGTCCCAGATTATAAATTATGAACACTAGGGTAGATTTTTGTAAGGAAGTTCACTATGTATGCCATCCTTTAAATGAAAGAGTAATTAATTTATTACATTAAAATGCCAGTTTTTTCTCTAGATTCTTTTTTCTCCTGGCAGTAAAGTGATGATTTATGTCAAAAAATCAAAAAAAATTTCAAGAACCAAAAATAAAATTTAATCTTATTTGCAGATTTTAAAAGAAAATTAGAAGATTCTAATTCATGTGCTTCTGATTTTACATTGTAATCTTTACGTGTGGTTATAGTTTTGATATTTGATAAATTTCTTAATGATATGTATACCTTATTTGTGTGTTAAGGAACTTAAAGTCTAGTTAAGAGCTTTGACCATTTGTGCTTTCATGTGTGTTAAGGTAGATGAGTTGTTCGTAATACCATGATTGCAGTATCTTTTTTTTTTTAAATAGTTATTAGAACAGTTGAGGTACAATAACAATCAAGATACCAGGGCAGTTGGGCAAGAAATTGAAATAAAAGGCACTTGGGTTGTGAAGGAAATAAAATTGTCTTTGGTCCCAGTTGACATGATCTGTATAAGGAAAACGAAAAGAATCCTCCACCACCACCACCACCAAAAGCAAAAATCCAAACTATTAACTGATAAATAAATTCAACAAGGTAGCAGGATATAAGATCAATATACAAAATCCAGTTTTACTTCTGCACACTAACAATAAATGACGTGAAATGAAATTAACAATTGCATTTACAATAGCATAAAAAGATGAAAATAAGAATAAACTTAAAAAGGAGTGCAAATTTTATACACTGACACTGCAAAAACACTGTTGAAAGAAATTGAAGGTCTGAGTAAATAGATATCCCATGTTTATGGATTAGGAGACAATATTAAGATGGCAATACAGATGGTCCCCAATTTGGGATGGTTTGACTTAATGATTTTTTTTCCTTTTTGTGGTGTGAAAAATATATGCATAAGTAGAAAGTGTACTTTGAATTTTGATCTTTTCCTGGACCAGCACTATATGCTGTATGATACTTTCTTGTGATTCAGCATAGCGGAAGCGAGATGATTTTGCCTAACTGTAGGCTAACGTAAGTTGTTCTGAGCACATTTAAGGGAGGCTAGGTGTAATTAAATGCATTTTTGACGTAATATTTTCAGCTTATGAGGAGTTTACTGGAACATAACCCTGTCGCAAATCAAGAGATATCTGTACTCCCCAAAATCAGTATTTTGAGAAACTCCCAGACTATTTTATGGCGTGAATTATCTTGACAAAAAATGATCAAGATAAAAATTGAAATAAAAATACGTACTATTTCAGTTTGACATCTATTGGTTGGTTGCCTCCTACATGTGCCCTGACTGGGATAAAACCTGCAACCTAAGTGTGTGCCCTGATTGGGGACTCAAACCCACAGCCTTCTTCTGGTGCATACGATGATGCTTGACCAACTTAGCCACCCAGTCAGGACCAACATTTAAATACTTTTTACATAACAAAGTTTAAAAACTACATAATATAATTTAAATAATAAATGTATTATTGAGTGAAAATGTTATTGAAATGACATGCTTTAAACATTTACTTTTCTAAAGCATAATAGAAATTAGGGTGTATTCTGTTAATCAAATTTTACTTTACCTTTTATGAACAACATTATAGAAGTGTGAAATATGAAGTAGAAAATACATCAGATTATTTTATTCAGTTAGCCGGCATTGTACATCAGCTAGGTGCAAAGGTGATTTTTAACAGGCAATGTGTAGGGAAGAACATTTGTAGTTGACATTCTCATGCTGAAAAACTTCCCCCTTTGGATCTATAGGCGTTTTTGTTTAAATTTGAATGGGCAAGACAAGATTTGCCTCTTTAGGTATATGTAAGGCCTGTCCAGAAGGTATCCGTCCATGTACTATGAAAAATAAGAGACATTATTGAAGATTAAAGATGCCAGAAACATCGTACATAGGAAGACACCTCAGTCCCCTTCAAAGTCGGCACCTAGGGACCTCACACAGTTTTCCTAATCACCATTAGGTGCCTCGTTGTATTTTCCTGAATCTCCTCGATGGCCTGATACCTCTTCCGTTTCAAAGGTGATTGTAGTTTTGGGAAAAGGCAGAAGTTGCAGGGTGCCAAATTTGGGCTATAGCAGGGCTGAGTCACCTGGGTGATTTGCTCTTTCGTCAAAAGGTTTTACATGAGACGCGGTGTATGAGTGGGCGCAGTTGTTACGATGAAGCTGCCAATCACCAGTTGTCCACAGCTGCTGTCTTCTGAATCGCCCAAATAGTTTCTGTGGAGGAATGTTCAAGCTTAACGCAAAATTTGATGCAGATTGATTGCTCTGTTTGCTCAGTCATTGTGAATGTGACAGCTACACAGTACACATGCTCACTCAGTAGTGTCTATTGCCCCCACTGATTAGTTGAGTGAAGTCATCATTGTTCACTCATGCACAGTCCAGCCCATGCTCTTTGGCTGCTACCTTACATTGATGCCCTGGAAACTTCTCGTTATGTTAACAATGGCTGGACCTTTTCTGGACAGACCTCATAAAACTGGAAACTGAATGACTGATGAATGTTTTAGATCATGGCTTCAAATCCTTGGTTGTCGAGGAAAGTATATAGAATTCTTTGTCCTGTATAGTAAAGCTCTGATGCTTCATTTTGTAGTTTCCAGTGCAATATTAAGGTCATCTTGATGGAAGTGAGAGTTTGTGCCACTTTGAAAGTTCATTCTGAGACTTTCAGTTAGTGCCCTCTAGTGGTATTTAAAATCCTTTCTTTCACAGGGAACATTGAGGAATTATGGTTACAGCTTCAGGCCATGTACAGCTTAAGTCTACTCAGAAATTTCAGTGATTATTAAGACACGCTGGACCATTTCATTTTCTCCATAATTATGAACCATTTAAAAATTGAGGACTTTTTTAAGTATGAAAAAATTCTATTATGATAGTGTCAAGTTTATGTGTTCTTAACAGCTGTTTGTAACCTATTTTGTCATTTATTGTAATCTATTGATAAGAGGGTAAATAAATCTTTTGGGAAAAGCACAATTTTTTTCAAAATCAAATTCTAAAGCATCTCAATTTTTCAATTTAATAGATTGATATGCTGCTGAAAGAGTATTTACTCTCTGGAGACATAGCTGAAGCTGAACATTGCCTTAAGGAACTGGAAGTACCTCATTTTCACCATGAACTTGTATATGAAGTAAGACTACTTTGACATTCCAAACAGAATAATTGTGTTTTATGCACTACAGTGACTTAATGCTTGTTTAATTTTAATATACATCTATCTTTCTTTTTAAAAACATTAATGGAGAAAGTTATTTTTAAATTGTTATGGTTATAGTTATGTATTAGAGAAAAAGGATCTGATACATTTTAGGAGCAATATCTTCTATGAATTAATAATCAAAAATGCATTCATTCATTTATTCAATTTTTAGGCCATTGTAATGGTTTTGGAGTCAACTGGAGAAAGTACATTTAAGATGATTTTGGATTTATTAAAATCCCTTTGGAAATCTTCTACCATTACTGTAGACCAAATGAAAAGAGTAAGTGTAACATTATTTCAAACACTTCTAAGGCTTATGCCTTAAATATATAATGATTGAATAAAGATTATGAATTGTTAATGAAATTTTACTTTATATGTTTAGTAGTATTATGTCTGTAGTATTTTTTTAATGGCAGTGTTTATGTTTGAATCTCCTGCAGCCATTTCTTGGAGAGTATTGGGTTTTTTTTAACCTGTTTTTAAAAAATGTGATTGTGTGTTCTTCCTCAATGTCCTGTTTCTAAGATATGGTAATTTCTTGGTATCTAGAAACATGAACATTAACAAATTACTTTAAAGTACCTAATTTATTCCTATTTAGAATTGTACATGCATTGCTATTAAAATGTTGGTGAGGCTCTTTTTACTTTTTAAAAATGTAGTAAATGTACAGGGGTGGGCAAAAGTATAGGCTTATAGTTTTGAGTATGTGAAAGTTTATTTTTGTACTATTTATTTGTATTGCATCTGTAAACCTTTTGTCTACCCCTGTTTATAGAGAAGTTAGCTGGGGGGAGAAATGTGTCCAGTATTTGATGTCTGCCTAAAGATCTTTTGAGAGAACAGTTTTAAATAACACTCTATTAAACAAATGTACCTATTATCTGTACTTCTCAAGGTTCAGGTCTGACTTCAGTCTTGCTATTGGAACATTTGGCCTTAACTATAGCTTGATGACAGTGATGAGTTATATGGCATCATGTATGTTATATGGGCTAATAATTCTGTATACAATTTCATTGTTTTAGGGTTATGAGAGAATTTATAATGAAATTCCGGACATTAATCTGGATGTCCCATATTCTTACTCTGTGCTTGAGCGATTTGTAGAAGAATGTTTTCAGGCTGGAATAATTTCCAAACAACTCAGAGATCTTTGTCCTTCAAGGTACTTTATTTATTATTTTCTCAACCTAAAATACCAGCTGAAGTGCTTAGGAAGGCTAAGCTAATTTTCTGTCATTCCAGTTCTGTTGGAAAAATAATACTATCATTCCTGGAGCCACTCAATAATGAAAATCATCTGTTTTGTGTTTATAGAGAAAAATAAAACTCCCCCTTGTTTATTTTGCCCCCTTGTAAATCTAAAGAGAACTACTTCATAAAGTCACTGGAAGGAAACTGATTTTGTGGAGCAGTTCTGTGTACCAGGCTCTGTTCTAAGTAGTTTAAATATTTCTGTGTAAATATTATCATCAATAAGATGAGAAAATTGAAGCTCAGGAAGTTGTAATATACTTTTTCTAAGGCTGCATGTGGTAGAGGCCACCAAGGTAGAGGCCAAGGATGAATGCAGACTTTTCTAGCTTCAAAGATCTAGATCATTCCTACATTCCATGTTGCTTCCTTTTGCTCTACCATAAAATGGAGAACTGGCGCTGATTGGATCTTAACCACTAGAAGGTGTATGTGAGAGTCTTTGGAGGTAATGTATTGGGTTGGCCAAAAAGTCTGTATGGTTTTTCCTGTAAAATAACACCTTTTTCATTTTCACCAGTAACTTTATTGATTTGGATATTTTGAGTATGTTGGCTATCTCCTGCGTGGACTAACATCGAGTGTTCTCAATTTAGTGTCTCGATTTGATCACTATCAACTTCAACTGGTCTACCCAGCTATGGAGTGGAGCATAGTCTGGCGAGAAATCTCCAGCACAAAGCTTTGCAAACCACTTTTGACACGTTTGATCAGTCACAGCACCTTCTCCAATACACTGCACAAACAATTTTTTGTGTTTCAGTTGTGTTTTTATCTTTTTTTTTAAAAAAAAAGATTTTATTTACTTATATTTTTCGAGAGAGGAGGAGGGAGGGAGATAGAGAGGCAGAGAAATATTGAAGTATGAGAGAGCACGATTGATTGCCTCTCACCTGCCCCCAACTGGGGACCTGGTCTGCAACCCAGGCATATTCCCTGACTGGGAATCGAACCGGTGATCCTTTGATTCGCATACTGGCACTCAGTCTACTGTGCCACAGCAGCCAGGGCTGTTTTTATCTTTCTTGAAATAGTAAAGTATTATATGCCGAACATGTTTCATATTTTCTCCCATCTTCAATCAATATTAAAATGGCTACACAAAAATTCAGATTTTCATGTTTTTTTTAAAATGCACAACTGTCATAATACAGTCTAACAAGATTGTTTCGAATGATGTTAAAGACTACTGAGCGCTCCTAGAGCCATGTTACAGAAGAAAACAAACGAACTTTTTTGTCAACCCAATATTTGTTCTACTAGGATCTAACTTTTTAGTAATAGCTAATTTTCTAATGTTGGTCTGTTTTATGTACATTGTAAGTTTTTACAATTTTTATCAAAGAATATCTAAGCTTTGGATATTTTTATTTAAGTGTATTGTGAGTGTCAGAAAAATACTTACTGGTAGTATCCTTTGTTCTAGAAAATAGGAGCCATTAAGAGAGAAGGAAAAAAAGATAACAGTCAAGACACAGTTAATGCCTTTGATGAAAATGGTAGATCTCTACTCGATAATGCCACCCTTTATGTACTGATGTGCCAGGTGGTATTCATCAGTAAAACTGTCTATTTAGGCACGACTTCTTGCTACTTACTGTTTTTGTTCCCCTACTTGGTCTTCTTAATATGATAGTCTTTATGTTCATGAAAATATAGCTAGTTTCTTTCACTTAGTATGAAAAGGGGTCAACACCTGGGCACTGGCTTTTTAAAAGTTCCAGCCTCCATTCAAAATTTTAACTGGTTATTTCTATTGTGGCTTTACTCTAAAGTATCATTTCAAAAGATACCTAAACTTTTTATGTATCTCATACCATAGAACTTTGAATTTTTAGCCTCTTTTTTTTTATTTAGGTGAAGTGCACACTTGTGTGTGATCTTAAATGCTTTTGCGTGTTGGTGTAGGGTCAGAGGATAAGGGCTAATTCTTCCTAAGCTCTGTTTTCCACTTACTGCTTTAGGCTGCTGGTCAACTATTTCTCCTGGGCTGTTGCTACTACACATAGCTAGAATGTGGTTACAGTACAGAGCAAGGCCACTTGAGACTGAAATAAGAAAAATTCCAAAATGGGGCATAGAGTAGAATTAATTTGATTCTGATTCTGATTCACTTTTTCACATATTCAGGTTACAGCTTTTCTACATAGGAAACATTTTTTTAAAAAACATTTTACATGGATATTTTGATAGGTTCCTAGCTCTAGTTTGCATAAATCCAGATTATGTTGTTTCCTATTTGGCTTCCTGTTTAGTTTTCAAATAATACTAATAACATAGTAGATACAAATATTAAATTTCTAAATAACAAATGTTTACTTTATAGTTTAACTTTTTTACATGGCTCCCTTTGTTTGAACAGTGAACTTCAATAATTAAGCTTTTAGTCAACTAAAAAATGCTCAGATTAACAGTTTATTTGATATGCTATACCCTAGGATATGTAACAAGGAAAGAGGTTTTCAAAAGATTTAGAGGCACACTGGCTTTTTAAAAAGACAACAATAAAACCTTTCAAAACTAAATGAATAGCCAGGAAATACCAAGTTTTGAGTTTTTTAAATTGACTGTAGTCAAAATTTGTATCTGTTTTCATGTTTATGTTTTTTGCATTACAGGGGCAGAAAACGTTTTGTAAGTGAAGGAGATGGAGGTCGTCTTAAACCAGAGAGCTACTGAATATAAGAACTCTTGCAGTCTTAGATGTTATAAAAATACATATATATCTGAATTGTAAGAGTTGTTAGCACAGTCTTTTTTTTTTTTTTTTAAGCACTTGGGTACAAGGCATTTCTGAAATTTTATAGACTTTAAGGGGAATTTTTAAAGGAAGTGTTTTTCTTTTTTCTTTCTTTCTTTCTAAATTTCTATTTTCTTTGTTTTGATGGTATAAAGGAGGGACAGAAAAGTAACCACTTCTTAAGTGGAATATTCTCATAAGCTACCTTTTTTAAGTGCCATGTTTATGACCTAATCATTCCAAGTTTTGCATTGATGTCAGACTGCTACTCCTTTCTTTCAAGGACAGTGTTTTTGTAGTAAAATCACTGGTTTATACAAAGCTTTATTTAGGGGGTAAAGTTAAGCTGCTAAAACCCCATGTTGGCTGCTGCTGTTGAAATACTGTGCTTTGGGATTTAAAAAAAAGTTATTTGTCTCAAAGAATTTTAAGAAAATGAGTTAGTCGTGAGATTTATTCATCTTTCCAGGGAACCTAATGATTGGTCTTAAAAGACTAGACAGTTAAGTAAATGGTGGCTGGAACATCTTATTTTTCTACAAAACTGGAAAAGTGAACCTGGTTCTAGAAGAATGTATGACACAATAAAACATATGAAGCAGTGTTGATTCTTCATTGGGAGTACATTTATTTTAAGTTTAAAAAAAACTTTTATTTCATGCAAATTTTATATAAGGGGGGTAGTATTTGGACCTAGAGAGTTTAAACCTTGACCCTTAAAAATTTATTTGCTGCTGTTTTTTTCTGCCATTTCTTGTTGGCGAATCGTTTCTTGTGCTGCTTGCTGCATTTTCTCCAGTTTTTCCAGAGTCAGAGATTTTAAGGGTAAAAGTTTGGGTTTACACAGCACCATTGTGGTTATGTCTTCCACAGACAACTGACCTAAGTTTAAAAAGAAATAAGAATTACTTTGATTGAGATAACCTAGTTGTTTGGTGGTTTGGATTTGCAGGTAGAATGAATGTCTAAAAACTTGATCCATTGTTAATGAAAATCTCTTGTTTCTCATAGTTTACCCCTGTAACATTTCAGTGTATTAAAAAAAAAAATTTAATGCTAAGGAGTTCATGAGGAAGATATGTTTTGAAATTTCCTCCTAAGATTCTAAGCTACCACAGGACACATAACTTTTTGTTGTCAGATGTTTAATTTGAAAAGATACGGGAGAAATGCAGTGCTTAAAGACACTTGCATAGTGCCTAAAAATTATTCAAATTACTAAATGCTTAACTGAAATCTTCAGCATTTCTTACTATTGCTTGATTTAGCTTTCTTTTTACCCACATTCAGATCTTATTTAATATTAGATTATTAAAGAGTTCTTTTTCATTGAAAATTTCGTATTGTAACCTGCGATCTTGAGTATAACAAGATTTCTAGTTTTAAGACACCACAGTTCGTCTGTCATCCTTTTACTGGGAAAAATTAAAAAAGTGATGGATTACTTCTTTACAACTTCCTTGTGAAAGAAGCATAGTAGAAATGGAGAGTAAATGTGGGTGGGATACAGAACACAATAGTTTCAGATTTTTAGCTATTGAGCCTACTATGTGACATTACAGATTGCTATTTTAGGTCCCCATAATATTCTGTGATCCAGGCATTTGTGATTTAAATACCTTGTTTTGGAAGAACTTCCCGGAACATGGATTTCACTTCTGCCATATTTGAATTGTTGGATACAGTTTTTCCTTTAATGAGAAATCAGTTATTAGTATTATTAAAGAATGGATTCCCCAACATACTGCTTAAGATACTTCCATTGTAATTCAAGAAGTAAAATCACAGTTCCCATAAAAAATGAACTACCTACCGTCGTATAATTTTTCTCTTAATTTCCTGTGGATCTTTGAATTGAAACAAGGTTGAGAGAGTTCATGTAAGTATCAAGATCTTGTCAACTTTCACTAGTCAGTAGTGGTATTAATTGGAAGGCTGCATAATAAAAATTTCCCCCCTCCTAGCAAAAAACTGATAGGGCTTGATTTTTAGGCGAAGATAATTGGTAGATAGTACCTGAAGAACAATAAGGGCATTTATGTGCCGCCACCTTGGTTTACTGATAGCATCCCCTGTGAGTGCCTAACGTAAATAAAGACTGACTTTGGGAGGCAGTAAGTAGTAGTTAGGGAAAGAAGGAAGTAGGAGGTAAACGTTTCCTAACTCTCATTTCACTCAATAGCTAACAGCTGGTTTCTACTTTAACTCTTTTCTATAATGACAAAAAGTATCCTAAGGATAAGTTACTGGAAGTTGTAAGGAAGTAACAAACAGGTGAAATTTGCCCTTGAAGGACAGAAGTGAGGTATGCTTTCAATTTTCTGTTATCCTCAATACAAAAATGCTATATGCTAAAGTACCCACAAACACCTTTATATGAGTATTTTGTTACGGATATGCCAGCATATATGCTATTTCTGGCTGATGACATTTGTTCCCACTATTACATCCCAGATTATAGCTATGCTGTATATTCAAGGTGTTCTGGACTTAGTTTGTAGTATGATCCCCTTCCAAACAGATTCTTCTCCAGATAGTCCCACCCATTTTGCGATATTTCGCCATACTGATGCATCCTTACCATGTCTTTCACCACATCACCAGCATGAAAGATTTATTATTTATAAAGCGGTGATGCTGGCCTAGTGCCTGCCTTAACTGCCCACTGCAAATGAGTTGTAATCAAGTGAAGCTGCTTCCGGTCTTAGTTTTTTTGTAGTCCACTACGTTCACATTCCTAGTGAAAGCTTCCTACTCTTCACAAAGCAGCTTCATTCAGATTCCTATTCTGGAACACCTAAGCAGCAACCTTATCCTAGGCTGCTTTTTCCAGGAGGGAAGATTAGGGAATGGATCAGGAATAAAGCAACTCACTACTAACTGAAATCTGAGATAAAAGCCCTATGTATGCAATTCCCTTAGAGTGCACAACTCCTGCCACATTATTTTCTTATTTAGGCCTGCTAGTGGTAGGTACCTAGTGATCATTTATTTTTTATTTTTCTTTTTTTTTTTTTTCAGGGTATGTTGAAGGCTAACAACATCACAGATCCCTAATTAGCCTGAATATAACCAAAATAAAAAACACGTAACCTCTTCAAGATAACTACAATGAAAACATTCATTAGGCCCTTATTTGGGTGTAATCTGACACAGCATGCTACTGAAAGGGTGAATGTGCAGTACAGGTGTTGATAAATGTAAAGGAAATAACAGCTAAACATTTTTATCACCAAAATGCTAAACTGGTAGGTGACCCAAACAATTCTCAGCTATATAGATTAGCAGTACCAGCCACCCAGAATTAAATCGTCATCTTTTGCTTTCTCTAGTCTGTACCTCTTTCACATCCAAAATCTGGCCCAAGGAAAATAGTGAAGCTCGATGCTCTCTATCAAACCTTTGTTCCCTAAGCTGCCATTGACATAGGATAGGGTGTGGGGATGAGCGCCATCACATGCCTGGGTGGAACGTCTGCTTTACTAGAGTTGGTTCTTGTTCCTAGTCCCTGTTACGCATTGGCAGGAGAGAAACAGGAAGGGAAGGGCTAAAATAAGCATGGTGGTGCCTAGATGGCCACACTGGCCAGGCTACATTGTCTTGATGATCCACTGCCCAGGGAGTCACAGTAGGGAAGAGCATTTATTTCCTTGTCCAGAAGCCCTGCTAATAGTCAAACATGGGTGTTGTGTCTGGTGTGATATGCCCTAAGGAGTTGTGTGGCTGCTCTAAAGGTACTTTCTTACTGCTAAAGTAAGATGTGTGTAATACCAGGGAGAGATGGGCCAAAGAAAAAATACCAGCTATGGCTGAAATTCATGTTTATTGTACAACTGCCATGCCATTCAGTTCAATAAAATATATGTCTACCATGTGCCAGGCACTGGTCGTTAGTGAACAAAACAGACAAAAAACAAAAACTCTGCCTTTTTGGAGCTTACAGATTAGAGTAAGGGGAGAGAAATAATACAATGCTAGAAGATAGTACGTGCTATAGAAAATAAGGGGACTTTGGAATGCTGGGGGTCATGGTATTACAATTTAAATAGGAAGATCACTATGGCCTCATTAAGGTAAAATTGTCTCATTTTGGTGTGTATGTATGTCTTTTAAAATCACAAAAAAGCCAAAAAGCCTGTTAGTGTTCGCAGTTAGGGAAGGTAGAGAGAAATCTGCTCTCCATGGTTGGTGGAGTCTGTTGGTACAGCTCTTTTAGAGGGATATTTTGTAGTAACTACTAACATTTTGTAGTATGTCCCAAAATTAAATATGCACATTTCTTTGACCCAAACATTTTAGTGCTGAGCCTTAAAGAAACAAAGCATGGGTATATACAGATAGAAGAATAACAATGTTCCTTAAAGTACTGCATTGAATAGCAAAATGTTCAGCAATATGTCAACGGTTAAAGTATGGAACAGCCATACATTGGATTACTATGTCAGATTTTAAAATACTACTTGCAGAGAAGTGTCAGTTGATCTTTTTTTTGAAGCTCTTGGTCTGAGTAATTAAAAAATAATCTGCTGCTTCCTTATCTCCCATGGTTCCCTTAGTTTGTAATTTCTCCCAGAGATAATGGGTTTAGATGGGAAGTGCATTTGAAAGTCATGACAAGTAAGCAAAGCCATTTGAGCTGGATGTCTAAAATTAGGAGAATTTGGAGGGAAACCAAATCTGTCATGAAATGTTTTACTAAGCCGTAGGAGTGAGAATTAGAAGACACAAGTCTAGGAAGGATTACTGCTTTAAATCAATCATATACATGTTGATAAATAAATCATAACTAGTATAAGTTAAAAATTGCTAGGGTGATTTAGTTTGGTAACCCAACTAAACTATGGGTGTGGCAGTAGGTAAGAGCACTGAAACATGCTTCTGAACCTTGAGTATATATATTGGTGTTCTCAAATTTTATGCTTTCATAACCCCCCAAGATTTTGAAAAACTAAATAGAAAAACTGTGTACTCCTTTACATGTTTGTAAACTGACACATGAACTTGTTATAAGTTTAAATAATTATAAAGGATATAATTTCCAGCATACTTAAGTCTTACATCAGTATTTGAAAAATATATCCAATATAATATAAATATCATAGTTTGATAGCTGCCACCATTCATTAATTTTAAAACAACTTACTTTTTAGGTATTTTACATTGTTTTTCTCCCTAGACCTCTCTTTCTAGTCTTTATTTTTATGCATTTTCATGCTTGAACACATTTTAATGATCATCCTGTTATTCTCTGCTACAAATATGTAAATGAAAAAAAAATATTTTAAATTGAGTTACTATACTTAGTGAAAAATTGATCAAAAATTACACATTAATAAAATAATCACTGAACATAGAAAATAAAGTTAATGGCCCTGGCTAGGGTGGCTCAGTAGATTGAGCATGGACCTGTGAACTGAAAGTTTGCCAGTTTGATTCCCAGTCAAGGCACATGCCTGGGTTGCAGGCCAGGTCCCTGGTTGGGGATGTGTGAGAGAAAGCCAACTGATGTTTCTCACATTAATATTTCCCATGCCCCCTTTCTCCTTCCCACCCCCTCTCTCTGAAAATAAATAAAATCTTAAAAAAAAAATAAAGTTAATGGCTATATATCTGTTAATAAGGATAGAGCTTTGGATGGGAACACTGGACAATAAAGACGAGTACAGAAATGTACTGCTTTTGGTGATGAGAATTATTCTGTCAGAGTGGAAAGTAAGTATAAAAGGAATTTGGGATCGTATGCACCTATGCAGATTTTTTTTTCTTTCAGCAAAGATAGTAAATGTCTATGCCATCCACAGCTAAATGAGGGAGATACAGTGAATAAGAACCAGTTCTTCTCCTTGAGGAATTTGGGGGAGGTGAAATCAGGGGGAAACACATGTAAATAAAGTTACAATGGAATATAATGGTTTAATAAAGGTATATCTACTGTGCCTTAAGAAACCAAAACCATGAATAACTTGGCTGAGGGCAAGTGACAGTGGCTGGTCTCTGAAGAAGTAGTACACATGACATTGGGACTATTCCCAAAAGGATGAATGGGGGTTTATTATGAAGAGAAGTGGTTGTGTAGCAAGGGGAGGGTGTTCTAGACAAAGTAAAAAATATGTTCGAAAACATTAAAAAAGCCCAAGGAAATGGCTAGAATATGGTGTACACACACTGTACTGTGGTGGGACTGGCTAGGTGGCCAGTTCATGCTCGGTCTTAACTGCCAGGGCTTGGAGTTTGAACTTTATATTCTATAGACAAGAGAGGGCTACCTGGATGGTTCTGAGTGGGCCTGTGACATTCCTGTGTTTTGTAAAAACATTCTAGATAAAAAGGAAGAGACACTAGAGGCAAGGAGATTAGGATGTGAACAAAAGCAGTAATAGGCATTAAGAGAGGACAAGAGGTGTTCAAGGACATAGGAAGTTGAGATTTAAACTTCCATCACCACTCTCCCTGTCCCCCACACTCTTTGGGTGATAGGGAAATGGTCAAGGTAGACAAATTTCAAGCTACCATGTTTCAGTGGATGGTTGCAGGTATGTATGCAAGTTGGGAACACAGGAGAAATAGGAGGAAAGGGTAAAGACTACGAATTAGGTTCAGCCTCACTGAGTGTGGAAGTCCAATAGGAAAGTAAAAAGGACTGGAGGCCCACGCAGTCAATGGTACAATAGTTTAAGCTATAGAAATGGAT